CGCTCGGGTAGCCAATCACAGCGCAGGATTTGATTCATTTTGCCCGCTCACGGAGCTAACCATATAATAATGTTAATTCTAATCCCGAAGCCAAAACGTTTGCTGCGAAACAAAAAGCCGGACTTAAAAATCAATTAATCATCTGTGCAAATTAGGCCACTGTAGTCTCAATAAGCTCAACGCACTTGCGTTAGTTCGAACTGCAAGTAACTTTAGGGGTGGCGAATGGTCCTTCAAAAACCATGGGTCTGGCAAAATTTTCGCCGAATTTCACGGGTCTCGCAGTATCGTTTTTTAGCGGTTATCATCGCGTGTCGCAGTCTCGAGTTTTTTCAAGGCTAAGAAAATCGCGAAGTACCGATTTGTTCATTTTGTTTTTAGTAAAGTTAAATGACGTCACAACATGTTAGAACCTGAACGTCTTCAGTTCGCATTTAAAACACTTTAAAGTCTCGGTCTCGCAATTGAAGAAATCAAAATGTCTCAGGCTCGCAAAGAAAAACGCTGATCTCGTCGTCTCTCAAAGTCTCGCATTTGCCATTCGCCACCCCTAACTTTCAAGATTTTAGCTCAAAGATCACTGTTTGGTAAGTCTGCCAAACAAGATTTACGTTTTCTTCAAATGATCTTCCCACTGCTTTCAGTCGGCTGTTAGATTCTTAGACGGAATAATTGAAAAAGTTCGTGCTAGTCCGCGCGCGGCCCACTGAAACTCNGGGCAAGATAGCTCCATCTTGCCCGCTCGGGTAGCCAATCACAGCGCAGGATTTGATTCATCTTGCCCGCTCACGGAGCTAGCCATATAATAATGTTAATTCTAATCCCGAAGCCAAAACGTTTGTTGCGAAACAAAAAGCCGGGCTTAAAAATCAATTAATCATCTGTGCAAATTAGGCCACTGTAGTCTCAATAAGCTCAACGCATTTGCGTTAGTTCGAACTGCAAGTAACTTTAGGTGTGGCGAATGGTCCTTCAAAAACCATGGGTCTGGCAAAATTTTCGCCCAATTTCACGGGTCTCGCAGTATCGTTTTTTAGCGGTTATGTGCGTCTCGCAGTCTCGATTTTTCTCACAAAGCTATCTTGCAGTCTCGATTTTTTTTCAAGGCTAAGAAAATCGCGAAGTACCGATTTGTTTATTTTTTTTTTAGTAAAGTTAAATGACGTCACAACATGTTACAACCTGAACGTCTTCAGTTCGCATTTAAAACACTTTAAAGTCTCGGTCTCGCAATTGAAGAAATCAAAATGTCTCAGGCTCGCAAAGAAAAACGCTGATCTCGTCGTCTCGCAAAGTCTCGCATTTGCCATTCGCCACCCCTAACTTTCAAGCTTTTAGCTCAAAGATCACTGTTTGGCAAGTCTGCCAAACAAGATTTACGTTTTCTTCGAATGATCTTCCCACTGCTTTCAGTCGGCTGTTAGATTCTTAGACGGAATAATTGAAAAAGT